ACATTTACTCTTGAAATTCAGCCAAGCACAACAGACAGTTAAAAAGCTAAGACTGAATCAGCACTGCAGCTCTACATGGGATTTGAGTTTCACAAGTTTCACTAACTCGTTCGATCTAGTTATTTATGGAAAAAAAAATAGTACTCCCTGCAAATAAAACTTGTGTGGAAAAGAAAAATGCTATAAAAGCAGCAGCTTTCCTTCCTCACAGAGAAACCAGTACCTACAGTACTGGGGCAGCAAAAGCCTACCAGAATGCCATACGGTGCCAGCCACAGCTGCCATCACCATCTGAAGGCAGCAATCAGCACATATGCTCAGGCTCAAGCAGAAGTTAGCACCTCACTCTCCCTCCAGGCAGGCACTAACTGGAGCAGGGAGAAACCTCTTGGCTCCGCCTGTGTATTTTCTCTAGAAGACATGCAATTCATAGAACTGAGAGTGCACCTGTAAGGACAACAAAGCCTGCATGAACCTAAACCAGTAGGTTTCTAGGCAAGGATCTCAAATCAGGGTGAAGAGGAGAGTGTGGGAATAGTTTGCCTGGGTAACTGTATGTTGTGATGTCTTGGTTTTGGCAGTCAAGTTGGAGCAAATGCATGTTGAAGAATGGCGAGGCTGAAGCACACTCCCTCATTCACCCGTATGGGGGGCTTTGCAGCTGCACCCATAGCTGCCAAAGCTTATAGCAGCTGCTGTCACGGCTCATGATAGCTGCTGCTGCTGGTGAAAACCAGCAGATACCTAAACAAAGTAAGGTTAGGAACCCTTGGTTAGATCAGTGCTGGGAGAGCAGAACTGCTAGAGCAGAAGTAATACTATCAAGAAGCAACATGCTTATTTCTCAAAAATTAAATGTCCTGCATTAACAATGTCTGTGTAGAAATTATTTTTTCATACCTTGAAATCCTCTTGACACAAAATGTCTTTGAACAGAGGCTGGGAAAGCATAACTTCAATGTAGAGATTGGTAGCTACTTTGCTTCCACCAACTGTCCCATTAATCCCTTCTGAAGCAACTCGTACCTAGAAGGCAAGAGGAGAAGCTGGGGCTAAAGCTTAGTAACAGCAAAAACAGATCGCAGTGAAATTAGCAAAATATGAGTGGGTGACAAAAGGCAGACACAGAAGTATGTCCAGAAAAGAGACTACTGAGCAAGGAAGGAAAAAATGGTTATACTGAAGTTGAACATAAAGAAGACAGTAAATAAAATAGCAATAAAATCACAGTAATCACTTTTGAGCCATTTCGAAAGAATGACTTCAAGACAGTCAGAAAAGTCTGTACAATAAACAGAGACATGCTAAGTGGTTAACAGGCAAATCCTGCAGTCACCATTAAAATTCCCACTGGAAGTCTGCCTCAGGAAGAACAATGGGATTGTGCCCAGTGACTCACTCAGCTAAAAAGAAAATGTGAATATGCAAATATTGCATGTAATATTAAATTTCAGTGTGAGTCATTTTATCTCCAGCACTGACAAATGAACAAAAACTCTGAAGTGGTGAAAAAAGAAAAGGTTGAATATTAAGAGGCAAGGAAAAAAACAACTGATTGAGAAGGCAAATGCTGTACCCATCTCGGAGATGAAAAAAAAAAAAATTGAGAAAAATACCAACCACCAGAAAAAATAGCTGAGCAAAAAAAGGAGTGAATGCATCAGGACATTTCACCCCCAGACCTGTGCTGATGTAGAACAGGGAAGGTGCCTACCATTGGCAGAGAAAAATAAGCTACTTAGGAAGACAAGTCAAAGATAAAAGTAGCCTCCTGCTCTGAGTTGCCCTCTTGAAAAATCCTTCTCCCCACAGATAGCCTAGGAACATCAGCTTCGCAAGGCTAAAATTCACCTTTGCCCACAGCCTCAAGAGGCCAGCTAGATGAGCCAACTCACCTCTTTGGTCTAGCCTGCCAGGAAAGAAAAGAACAAAGACTCTATGCAGGAATGAGCACTGCTGTCCCTGTGGTGTGATCTAAGGTGTCAGCTGCTCTCATCTCATTCCTGACAGTATGGATTACAGCTTGGTGTAGTGATTCTGACTGGAAGACCATTGCGCATTGAGGAGTCAGTGATACACATAACAGTTAACGGGAGCAAGCCCAGACCCATGCCGCACAGGGGTGCGCCTCCAGCCTGGCCTTCAGGCTGTGCTGTGCTGCACATATCCTTTAGCCAGCCCAATAATCCTAACAGAGACACATGCATGCAGCTCCCTGTCGATACCAGTGATTATGCCACCTGTGTGTCCTCGCCTTTATCTAAAAGTGCATCAAGAAGTTCTCATGTGAATACTCTTTCTGTTTGACAGTAGGAGTGATGAAAAGACTTGTTTTCCTGTAAACAAAAAAATCTGTAACAGTTTGAATGACGGGAATGGGGTAACCCTTGCAAGGACAGGGTCTGCACAGCATGCTGTGCATGGATCAGAGGCTCACTCAGTGCTGAACAACTCAGGATTCCCAGAATCGAAAGGGATATAAGATTATCTGTATTATTTTCTTTTTCTTTGTAGCATTAGCTCTTAAATAGCATTTTAAATGATACTTTACAGTGTCTGAGTGCCTTTCTTAATGGGATCATAACAGACTAGCAACACACTTGGTTCTCCACATGCCACATCATTCTGCACTAAACAAAGAGGATGTTTTTTTGTTAAGAATACAACCATTGCTTAAAACCTTACCTTGCCAGTGAGATGCAGATGCTGGCACAGAGCCTTTTGCCAAGCACAGAGTCTCTCTGGATCCTTCACCTCACAGTAACAGTAATACAGAAGTACTTCTCCCACCTTGCTGTCCATAGCATGGCAAAAATGAACAAACAGGAAAAGGATGTAAGTGTTGGAAGCACAAAACACACTATTAGCAGTAACCATTCAAAAAGCAGGCAATTTTCTTCTGGCAGATGCAGGGAGAAAAACAAAACAAAACAAACTTTGGAGGCATTAGCACTGCTGGGTTTGATTTATTTCAAAGAGAAAGAATACGAATTAAAAAAAGCTCCCACATTCCTAGTTCTCAGGACTGGTTACAAAACAAACTCATCTGTGCTGCACAGGACATGTCTGCCAGCGGCCTACAGCGCACTCAAGTTTCTCTCAACACACAGGGCACAAGAACTGCTGTTTTCTGTCCACGCAAGTGTCCCATTAAATGTTTAATTTGACAAACTTGCACACTGAAAATTCAAGTGCTTGAGCTATCCAAACTTAAAGAGCCTAAATTTTCAGTGAGATCATGTGTGCCTGCATTCTGAGCAGCACAAGTCAAACTCTCTCACAGTGAGAAACATTTTCATGAACCTATTTATTCATAACTAAGAAGCCCTTAAGGGACTCGAACGAGCAGAGAAAAGGGACCTGCTCAGAGCATACCCTGCCGTTCTGCTCTCTACTGTTACGGTCCCTCCTTACTAAGCCATCGAGTAACATCTGCACAGGTCAGCTTTAACAAGGCGGGATGATACAGCTCAATAGTTCAATCCTCCCAAGTTCCCACCTTTACCATCAAAAAAAATGCAGCATATCTACTTCTTTATCAGCACAGTGGTAACTGGCATGTTTTGTACAGGCGTGAGCAGTTGTAAAAGGAATTAAAATAAACCAAGTGACTCCTGGAGGGTACCTACACCTATTGATCTAAAGAAGTATCTCAGGAAGGTATCTGAAACATCTGAAGACCTACAGGAATATCAGGGAAGACTCTTTCTATATCTTAAAGTGTCACTTGACTGCACTTCATGAAAATAAAAAGCAGTGCTGGCAGAAGACCATCTAAAGTGTAAGCAGGCCAACACCCCGCTCCTGGCTAGTACTGGTCCTCCAAAGCCCTGAGGGACTTTCTTACCTTGTCAGATCCTCATAGCTAACGTGGCTGGTGTCTGGGAGCGCACAGGAGATCTCGGGAGTGCCACCGGGGCGCCCCTTGAGCCCGCCTGCCTTGCCCGCAGGAGCCGGGCCGCTCGAAGGGCTCCCTTCAGCAGCCGCCAGCTGCCC